TTGAATTGAATTGAATTGAAAACAGGCCCCACTCTATCACCTTTAATCAAAAGGGTTGATGGCACTAATCCAGCTCATAATTCCCTTCAGGATCCTGTCACTATCAAATAGAAGCCAATATGATGAGAAAAAGCAGAGAGAACATAAAGTTAGATATTGACACACTGTTGAATTGGAGAATAGAGACAGAATGAAGAAGAATAAGGAAAAGTGGTCACCATGTCCTCTAGCAACCTAAACCTATAGAAGCATAATTCAACTAAGAAAGTCGTATTTCACAGCGGAAGTCAGCAGAAGAAAAAAAAAAAGAAAAAATGCATAGTAATAAGTATAGATACCAAAAAAGTGGGCTTAATTAACAAAGTATTTGTAGTTCGTTACTTGACACCTCTGGTATTTCATGATCTAGCATATCAATAAATTAATAATCTTATAACCTCCTTTTTCCCTCCCCATCAGTCAAATTCACAGGTGTGTAAAAATCACCTCGCTGACCACTGTTCTCCCTCTTCAGTCTTTTTGTTGTCGTTTTTGCTTTAATTTGAGAAATATTCGCATTTCTATCCCACAGCTTCTAGAACCTGTCATGCTGTAGCTAAATGTCATATGGCTTCAATCTACTATTCGTATTGTTGCAGAATCCTGTCATGTTGAAGATATTCAGAAGTAAATATTCATACATTTTTGAGTCATGAATTTGTATAAAACAATAACTTATTCACTTTTTTACATTAAAAGCAATAATGTTGTTCTACACCACTCTATGTTTTCTGTAGCTTTTTAAAGTCATAGGGAAGTGTCAGTGTCCATCTCTGTGAACGCTGGGACAGAACTCAATGGGAAAGGAAACAATTCTTATTTCAACCGTTGCGTATATTAGCTGCGACATATGAATCAAGATGCTATGACCGAAAAAAATTGATTGACAGATGACACATTGATATATGATTGGCCGAATTTAAGTGTACAGGCTGACGTATAACTAACTGGCCTGCATAAAATAACGAAAAAAAGAATTTTAAGAAAGTGAAATTTTCTAACTTATGGGACAATATTGTCTGATAAAGATTACATTTATCTAAATGTTTAAGCCAGAATGATTTGACATTTAAATATGACTACTATACTTTCGAAAAAATTATTGTTTTGATTAAAAACGTTAGCTAATATCTTTGACGTATACAGCACAGTTTTATAGGTGTAGATTTATTGGCACAGCCTTCAGAGAAATCTAGTCTAGTCTTTAGAGTTTTATTGATTGATTGATTGACTTTAATAAGAAATGTACTAGTTACATCATATTTGGAAACACAGATGTTCTGCTTTTCAAATATTGCTGTTGGCACAGTGTACACTCACCGGCCACTTTATTAGGTACACCTGTCCAACTGCTCGTTAACACTTAATTTCTAAGCAGCCAATCACATGGCGGCACCTCAGTGCATTTAGACATGTAGACATGGTCAAGACAATCTCCTGCAGTTCAAACCGAGCATCAGTATGGGGAAG